GTCTTGACTTTAGATGGTTTCAATTTTGCCACCAAGGAGGATTCCAGGTTCACCTTAAATGGCTCTCTGATCTAGCAACCGAGCAGCTCTGTTTGGTCCAGGGCAGGGTGATGAACAGTGCATGAGTGAGCAGAGGCAGCAGACACTCTGTGCTGCTCTTTGCACAGCAAAATTAAAGCAAAGACACTAGAAACGTTGTCTTTCTGCAAAATAAACACCCAGAGGTGCATCATCTTTCCTTGATGGCCAAGTGTTGCTGTTGGGATGCACCATGTGTGCGTTTGGCAGAATTAGAGTCACAAGATAAAGGCCAAACACATGATTGGTTTCAGTGTTTAGAGGAAGATGTTTACTGGGATCAGAATAATACAAACTTATTCAAGTGTTTTTCGTGCATCCAAGGGTGCAATGCAACATACTCAAAAGAAATTCTCTTTATTGATTTGGTTTCAAAGAAGAAAAAAACAGTATTAATAGTGTGCTTCATACCTGACGTTAAAGACAGAGGTCAAAATGTTGCTCCACCTTTGTAAACAGAAGGAAAAATTGATACTGAATCAGTAGTTTTCTCCCAGATTAAATCAGGGAGGAAATTTCAGGCTCAAGGGAGCCCTGAAGAATGCCCAGAGAATCCGTTTTACATTAGTGGGACCTTCTTGCAGCATCAAGTACTCCAATATAATCATCAATTCTAATACTGAAGTCAGCAGCAATAATTCACATCATTTTAGAGCAAATAAATAGTAGATTGGGGCAGACTCTGAACTCCTTTCTGCTGCTTGCTGTTCTGTGAGCTCCAAGTGTTGGTTAGTTTAGGACTGAGGTTTCAGCTAAATATATTTTCCTAAATATATCCCCTCATGAACATTCTCTCACAGTATGGCTCTTAGAAAACCATTCATTTGCTTCTTACTAGTAGTATTTATTATTATTTTAATATCTAACCCCAGCAAAGGAAAAATTTGAAAATCCAAGTATCTTATGGACTGTATCACCAGATCATTATTTAGAAGATGCTGGTTTATTTATTTTCCATCACTGTGAAAAGAAAATCACATCAAGTTCTTGCTCTTCTCCAGTCTTTGGTGTGTCATCAGTCATCACTGTGATGTTCTGCTCTTGAAGAAAACATGATGTCAGTCCTCCACTCTTGGAAAACATTGTGTATTTAAAAAAAAACCCTCCATCTGTAGACTTCTCAACATTTTACTCACTTGCAGTTCATTTCCTGTGCTGACTCACATGGAAAAAATGTTGTTTTCCACACATTCCAAGCATATTACATGCAATTAATGTATTCCCATCTAACTCAAATATAAGTAGAGGAGGAAAAAAGAAAGCCACTTTGCTATTCAAAATAGCTGACTTTAAAGTCCATCCTGGGTTTAAAGAAGTAGCTGCTGGTTTGTAACAAGATCAATGTGTTTCTTTGTGTTTCCAAAGTGTCCTTTGCTGTTCCATCCCATCCTGAACCTGATTTTTGGCGTGACACTGATTTTTGGCCTGTTTTATTGATATACCTGTTGGGGTATCTTTGCCTGGAAAGACTTTCTAGAGGGCCACAAACTTCCAGAAAAATCAAACTACATTGTGCTCTGTAATGTCCAAAAATAGTTCAAAACCAAATCCTTCTGGATCAAACCATTGCTGATTTATATACCTGAGATATAAGCATTTATTGGTGGTCTCAGGGAAATCAGATTTCTGGTTTGGCTGCAGATTCTCCAGACTTTTGCAGCTCTGGAGGTAAATAACTCAAATAACCTGCCTTCTAAGGGAACAAATTAGGTTTCAGTCAGAGAAACCTGCAGAAAAACAAATAAAAAAGATGAAAGTCAATCATAAACCCTTAGCACAGTTTATTTCTAGTCTACTAATCAACAGTGCCCAAGCAGTGAAGTTGTTCTACCCCTTCAGTACTCTGCTCCTGATTCAAACAACCAACAAAACACCATGAATAATTCTTTCTGGGTGCCATGAATAATTCTTTCTGGGTGCCATGAATTATTCTTCCTTTATTTCACTGTGCTGCTGTGGCTACTAGAACTTTTAGCCACTTTTACCCCCAAAGCTGCAGTGGGACATCCTCCAAGCTGATAAATTTGCCCAGCTTTTCAAATTCAGGAATAAAAGAAGAAGAGAGATCTGGCTTGCAGCTATGGGTCCTCATTTTTGGTAGTTCCTACATCTCAACCTCTTCTTTTAGGCTATGAGTAATTGAGACTAAATAAGTGATGGGAAAAACTCCATTGTTTGAGGAAGTGTTTCTATAACTGTAATTTTTGTGGATGTTGATTGAATACAGCAAAATTTCACAGGGAATTATGACACTTTCTGCCTCCAGGCTGATCAGCTCTCTCATATAGAATATTCCTGACTTTTTTTGAAGCTTGCTGCCTCACTGAGTTAAGTAGTTAGCTGGGCTAGGGTTTAGGGCAAAGAAAAACATTGTTGTTTTTAAACCAGCACCTGCAAAAAACAGACACTAAATAATAATTTTAACATCTGTTAGCTTGAAATTGAACCTGGCTTCTCCTATGATTTCTTTCTTGAGTTAATAATCCTCTAAAGCATAGACCTTCCCACTTTTCAGAGTAGTCCTGTAAGAATTTCTAAACAAAAGCCTTCTGGAAGTATGAAGTTAAGTGCTGCATTAATCAAACTGTACAACATGCAAATTAACTGTTAGCTATTGACTAGTCAAGTATAGAAAAAGTCATCTGGACTCTGCAAAATTTCCAGAAATTGGATAATTTGTCTATTAAAATTCATAAAGTGGGGATGAACAGATAGAAAGAGGTAGAAACATGAATTCAGTGTAAGTGTGCTTCATCTATTTCTAGATCTATATTTATATTCTTTTATTTTTAATAAGCACGACAAAAAGGATCCAATTCACACAGCCCCACGTTTGTAAAGGTTCTATAGAAGGCT